TGAGGAGGTATGAATCCAACTTGACTTTGTCCTGATAACCACCGGCCTGCCCACCACCCTCTATTAATAACAGCTCTCATCCCAGCAGTTCGAGGGGCTCAGGCATAGGGGCAAGGGCAGATCACAGCATAGACGGGGCTTTGGATTTGAGCCTCTGTCCTAAGAACAATGGGAAAGTGAGGAGTGGCGGGACGGGAGTGCCATGATCAGATTTGCATCTAGCCTCCGAATGGAGACTGGAGAGCATTGGGCCAGCATATTGGAAGCCATCTCTGATCCCAGGCACATCCCTTTCACTGCTAGTGGGTTTCAGCTCCTGGGTCTCCAGCCCTCTCTCCAACACCACTTCTGGGTGAACTCCTAGGGATCTTGATATCCGCATAGAAGCCCCTCATACCCTCGGCCTCTCACACCTCACTCGTGACTGACGGCCTCAGTTCCTACTTCACTGGCACAGTTGGAGCAGTTGGAAGAAAACTTCCACAAACCCCACCTGCACAGCCACACACCTGCATGCACTGCCTCCCTGCTTATTGCCACAGACAGACTATCTAGGCTCCTGAGCACAGCCAGTGCCACCTCTTATGCCAGGACCAGTCCTTCTCGCCTCCTCAGGGGCATCACTCCAGGAATCCCCCTTTCTCCAACATATCGAGTCTTCCCCTTCCAGCTGATTGTGCAAACATGCTGCTGTGCCTCTCATCCTGAAGAAATCCCTTCTCTGGACTCCACGCCACCAAAGCAACTACTCCATCTTTGCTCCCCTTTGCAGCAGAACTCCTAGAAAGCTCTCACTGTCCACATTCCTCCCCTCCCCTTCCCATCAGATGTCCACTCCTGTCACCCTTCATGTCTGTGGCCTCTGCATTGCTAGGTCCAGCCATCAGGTCTCAGTCCTCACCTCACATGACTGTCAGCACTGATCAGCATGGGGATTATGCCATCCGCCTTGATGCACTCCCTCCACTCAGCTTCCAGGACTTCCTTCTCTTTCGCACCCCCTTCTAACTGTTGGAGTGCCCCCGAGGGCCAGGGGTGCACAGCTGAGCTCCTGATACTTCCAGCCAAACCTGCCAACCTACAGCCTCCCCACCTCTGTTGATGGCGACAACAGCATCCTTTCAGTCACTCAAGCCAAAATCTTCCTTGACTCATGTCTCTTTGACTCCACAGTCTAGAGAAATCCTCTTGGCTCTACCTGCAGAATCAATCCAGAATTCAGCCACTTCCACCCCCTACACCACTTCCACTGGCTGCAAGCCACCATCACCTCTCCCCTACATCACTGCAATAGCTGCCCCACATGGTATGACCCTTTTAAAACATAAACCAGGTCATATTATCTCTGCTCAAAACCCTGCAAGGGATCCCATCTCAGAAAGAAGATAAAGTCCTACAAATCACCTACAAGGCCCCCCCAATCTGCCTCCCAGTACTAATAGTGCCCCTTACCCTGCTCTGCTGCCTGTCTCTTTCCATGACACTATCGCCTTCCAGGTGATGTACTGTTTATTATGTTTATTGTATCTCAGCTGTCCTCTCACTAGAAGAGGACAGGGATGCTTAGGACAGGGATGTTCGTCACTTTCACTGCTGTATCCCACTTTCCCAGAACAGCATTTAGAACAGTAGGCACTCAGTGAATGTCTGTGGGACAAGGGAAGAGGGTGATGAGTGACGAAGCTATTGCAAGTCAGGAGGTGCTGGTAACATGGATGAGGTTGTGGTATTGGGGAGAGACCCAAGGGGATGGGCTTCAGAGCAACAAACAGTGGATGTGCCAATAGAGCATGTCGAGAAGGACTCCTCATTTTCCCGTTCACCAGCTGGGCGGGAGGGGATGCCATCCACAGAGACCAGGAGCTGGAGAGGAGCACGTTTGTGGGCAGAAGATTGTGAGTGTGACTGTGCGCCCCTGCTTGAGGAATCATGGGATTATTCAAGGGGAGATCAAGCAGGCAGCTCAAAAAGGGAGCCTGGGCCTCAAGGCATGGTCAGGACTGGAGATCTACATTTGGGACACTTCCACCTATTGTAGCCATGAGCATGGAAGAGCTCCTTGGGAAGGATGGAGAGAGGAGACTGATGAGCAGGGAACTGAAAAGAAGAAAGCTTAGACTTGATCCCTGAGGAGCCTTGGCCTGTGAGGCTGGGAGAGGAGACTGAGTCAGCTGAATAGCCAGGGAGGTGGGAGGACGTGTCTGTCATCTTGGAAGCCAAAGGAGGAGAGCACTTCTAGAAGGAGGGAGAAGATGAGTCCAAGGAGGAGAAGAAATCCTGTCAGGCTTATTGATTGGAGGAGGTCGTTGGAGACATGGTGAGTGCCATTTTGGTGGAAGGATAGGAATGGAATCCAAACCGTAGGGTCATGAGGTGAGTGGAAGGTGAGTGAGAGGAGACCCCCTCCTTCCAGCAGTGCAGCTGTGAGGGAGAGAGGAGCTGGGGCAGGAACAGAGGAGGGCGTGGAACAAAGGATGGTTTCTCGTGTTCAGAGCTGTGGGGAAGGATCTGCTTGAAGGGCAGGCTTGACCAGGGGAGCTTGGGGGCGGCAGGGTCCCAAAAGGAGGAGGCGGGTCAGCTCCTCTGAGTTGTCAATGAAAATAATCAATAAACAATCTATAAAAGGAGTAGAAAAGAGTTTTACTTGAGCCAAACTGAGGACTATAGCCCAGAAGCCAGCCTCACAGATAACTCTGAGAAACTGCTCTAGAGAAGCATGGTTTTCAGCACAGTTTTATGTCTTGTCAGAACAAAGAACCACAAACAAGTCAGGGATACATTCCTTCAAGGTTTCAAAAAAACAGATCAGCAAGTACACAGTGAGTCAGTATGGCTTTGGCACCTGGGAAGGGAATCTTATCATGAAAGGAGTACCAGCATTGGCATCCCAGGAAGGGAGGCATTTAATCTTTATTTTTAACATGGACATTCTTTACTTCTGGTCAATGTGCCCTTTTCTTTAATAATTAAAGCAGGTGTACAGTGTATGTTTGATAGGCCACAAACAGGATGTTTTAGTTAGCAGAAAATCCAAGTTAACTCGTGTATAAGCCAGAATGACTTCCCCATACCTCAATATGTGAACATTTCTTCTATCAGAGTTAACCTGAGGGGCACGGAGCAGAGGCCAGGCACAGGTGCAGGTACAGGCAGGTGTGGGTGTGTGGCATCAGAAAGGCAATGGCAAGTCCATCTGGTGGCTTTTATCTTTTTTGTAAAACAGAGAGCAGGCTGAAAGAGAGATGCCAGCTGTACGGATGTCCACGTGGCCAACAACCTGCCCAGCCCCTAGTCTAGGCTTAGGGAACACACAGCCCACTCCCCCACCACGTTACGTTCTCAGGCATTAGCACCATCATGCATTAGTTTCTCAAGCGAAAAATCATTATCTCATCTCTCTCCTTCCTCTATGCCCGATGCACCTCTCCACTCATCCTCCACCATTAAATCCATGAGCAAGTAAGCCCTGTCTGTCCTCACTGATAAGTACCATCTGACTCACTTCTCTTCATCTCCACTGCCAGCCCCCAAGTCCAGGCCACTGTCACCTAACAGGGGGGCAACTGCAACCCATCCTCATGCCCACTCACACTCCCTCAAATCACTCCTCTGTGCAGAACTCTTCAGTGGCCGCCACTGTCCTTCAAATCATGCTCCGCTGGACAATGACGTGGAAACGAGATGCTGTGGTCTGGCTGGCTTGCCTTCTCCCCAGGCCCTCCTCTGCTGCAGCCCGCTCAGTTTCGCCTGGACCCTAGATGCCCAGTGACCTTGGCGTGTTCAGAGCCTTTCCCTCCTAGCCACGCGCTTCCCTCCCTGTTCCTCTCCCCGATAACTATTCCTCACCCTCTGAACTCAGCCTAGCCTCCCGACCTGAGTGGGCCCAGTCTGGCTCTGGCCCCTCATTACGTGCTGGGAGCTTCCTGTGCTTCCTCCTTGTGTCGTTGTTTTCTTAAGTATTGATCCATCCAAGGAAAATTCTGTGAGTCAGAGATCTTGCCTTTCACCACTGGTCCCATTAACCTGCACCCAGTGGCGATCCGTAAATATGTGTGGGCTGGCTGACTGCCGAGGGCCGCCTCCCTGTGCCGGCCTCACTCTCCAGACTGAGGTCTGGGGCCTGCCAGGAGAGAGCAGAGGAGTCACTCGTTTGGCAGCAACATGGCTTTAGTGGAAAATGTGTAGGATTTGAGAGTCGGGAGATTTCCTTCGGGGATAAATTCCACCCCTAACCAACTATGTGGCCTTAGACCAGTCATTTCTTTCTCTCTGAGCCTCTGTGTAGTCATCTGTCACATGGGTATGTTCATCAAAGATTGTTGAGAAGGTCAAATGCTGTCATAGATGTGCAATATGGTTTGCACACCGTAAGGTGAGGAACACCTGAGTGTTCTCCATGGGGCAAGTCTCAGCTTACTGCACCAGCCTTCCCTGCAGCAGCCACCTGTGCTTCCAGACTCGCCCCCTTCAAATCCCCCATGCGCAGCCAGGCTCGGCACCACTAACCCTGGAGCTGGGCTATGGGCCCCCAACCCCCCTACATGTCAGCTTCAGCCACACACTCACACATCCAGTGCACCTAGTAGTATTCTCACCTCCGCCCAGAATGTTTTCTTTCTCAAGCCTCTCCCTTTCCATAGAAATGAACCAACCCCTAGTGAGTTCCAAAATTTGTTCTTCAAGCAGGAACAGGTCTGATTCCTACACTGCCTGCCAAAACCCAACACGGATGGGCCCCAAGCAAGAAGCAGCAGCAGCCTCATGTAATGCATGCAGGAACCAAAACTTGCTGGATTGTCTTTACCAGGCACACGCCCACCCAGCCACTCCAAGGACAGAGGCACTCCCTCTGCCCTGCCACTTGGCTTTGGGGCCAATGACAGCATCAAAGCCTTGCTAGGAGGGGTGGCCAGGAGCTGTGTGAGAGAGTGACTGGCCTGGGCGAGGGGACCCTCTCTCCCTTTGATGCTGACTGTGGCTTCTCTGCTTGTGTTTTGCAGGTCCTCCCGTAAGTGTCCTGGATTATGCTCTCTGCTCCTGAAAGATAAGACATTTTGTTTTCTCTCTGTGTGACACTTTCATGAAAATAATATTTGATTAGAGTGGTCTGTCCTTAAAATTAAATTCAGTCCCAGACAGGGGCCATATTTTTTTGTGATTTGTAGATGAATGCAAGCACAGATTTCCATGGGCTTGACTTGCCCAGTGAAGCATCCTGTGACTGTTTTCCCTGCAAGAGAGCTGACATGAGCCTGGCTGCTCCTCACCAAATCTCTGGCTCAGCTTGATGCACAGCAATGCAAGCACCATGCCCATATTTCCTAAATGTTCAGCCACAGTTGATCTGTGTAAACATTTTCGTCTCACATGCTTTGGCAGAAAGAGCTCTGGAGTCAGGCAGTTATGCCAGCAATATGTTGCACCTGACCACTAGATCCTGGGGTCCGTTTTCCTTCTTTGCCAAAATATTTGACTCTCTGGGTTGGGCAACAGAGACCTTGAGAGAACAGCTGGCCAGTGAGGGTGCTGAGTTTGAGAAGCGTGTGATTGGTGCCCAATCCACAGCAGCCCCGGAAATCCCATTCCTTCTCCAAGACACGTGACAAGTCTGCCTTTGATTCATCTTGGCAGTTTTTCAGAGCCTGATAAATCCTGATGAATTAATTCAAAAAGCACATTGACAGTCCTCTTGAGCCAAAATTAACCTTCTAAAGGAATTCCTTTCAGATGAGCAGCTTCGTTTTACTTCCACTTACCATGATTCATTTCCCGATTAGCACCCTTCAGAATCTGGACCTCTTGATGCATGTAGCGGCACCACATTGAGCCAGAAAGTGAGAATGTCTAGATTTATGGGCTACGAGCAGTTTTTCACAGTTGAGTCATTCCTGACTGTCACATGGAGGCTAGCCTGCGTGAACTTGCCGAAGTGTGTAATGCAGAGGGCTATGGAGAAAATTTGGTTTTTTGTGTGTTTTTTTTTAAACTTGGCTGTTAAACGACTAAGTGGATTAAACAAATGTAGAATTCTCAAGCTGTAACCTGAGATGGATGCCAATGTATGGGTCACTGGCGGGACAGCCACTGCTCCGAGCACATGGGGTCAGAGAAGCATCCAGTAGCAGTAAAGGTACCCCCATATCTCTGGTTTCCAAGGCTGTCTTCCTCAGGTCACCCCATCCCGGTGGCAACAGACAGGAAACCCATATCCTGCTCACTAGGCCCCAGATCAGGCCCCATTTAAGGAGCATTTTCCATGGTAACTGTGATGCCACCCTCCAGAAGCCCACAATCCCACAAGGTCCTTGCCATGTGCCTTGGCTGACGTGGGGAGGACACATGTGGTATGTGCCCTGGGGGCCCCTCCAGCCTGGCCCTATGAGGTGAGGAATGGGTGCGCCATCCCCCAAACCCGCTGGAGCCTTGCATCCCCCCGCGTGAAGGAGTCAGTTACCAGCCAGCAGCCTCTGCTGCAAACCCTGCAGATACTGGGGGGATCTGGGGCCCTGACTGAGTTCTAAGTGTTGCCATATGGTTTTCTGCCGAAAGTCTAATTATTAATGACGTATTAATTACCACAGGGGCAATCAGGACGAGATGGCTACCCGGTAATTTGCCATATATTTTTTTGCTCTCTTTACCCTTTACTCTCAAGCCAGTATTCTTCCTCTGTGCCTTTATTTACCTGTCTGCACTCCTCTCCTCCTCCTCCTCTGCTCCTCAGTGGCTGTGGTCTCTCTGTGGAGGGAGTAGCGTTAGCTCTGTGAAGATGCAGGATGTGCAGATCTGCAGGGCCCTGGCCTGGAGGGAACTGTCTGCAGCTCTAGCTGCCTTGCAGACAAATCAAATAGCCTCCAAGAAAGAGTCTCATTGGTGTGCTGAGTCCACCCAACACTGCTCTTCCTGGCCAGTGTGTCAGCCCTGAGCCCAGGGTCCAGCCCTTGGCTGTGGAGTGAGTGCCCTCCTGTGGGCGTGGCTGCCAGACTCTTTCCAGTGGACAGAAGACTCCCTGTCCCAGCCCACCATGTCCTGTCACCACTCGAGAACGAGAGGCTGGTTAGTTCCAGTTTGGCCTTTTTGGTGTCGTTACTTCTCAGATCTTTTACAATTAAACCTAAAAGTTAGCTTATGCTTGGAATGGATTTCCCAGCCTGGGCTGAGTGAGCACCACGACAGAAGCAAGGTGAAATATGGCTGTGCCACTGTCCAGTCCTGCACGGAGATTAAGGCCCATGATAGCAGCATGCAGAAGTCCTGATAAAGAAAGAGCAGAGGGTAAGCCTGGTGAAGGAGAGCATGGCAGGACCATCCTGTTGGGAGATTTGTTCTGTGCCGCAGGCCAGGAGGATTCAGGGAGGGAAATGTTGATGGATTCAGAGGACGCTCTAGTGGCCAGCTCTGTCCAGAGTCAGGACTGGCTGGCAGTGGAGGGCGGGGTCAGGGGGTGGGTGTCCCCAGTCTTGCAGGAGCCACCTTCCCAGAAGGCTGTGGAGGGCCGTCCAGCCCTGAGCATCAGGGAGACCTGAGCATGGATTCCAACCCTGCTGCCTCCTAGCTGGGTGACCTTGGGGAAGGCTCTGGCATTCTCTGAGCTTTAGTATCCTGTTCTGTGAAATGGGGTCATGCAAGGCCTCCCTAACAGCACTGGAGTTGGGATTAAGACTGAGGAGGTGATGGCTACACAAAATGGGTCACAAACCCAGCCTACAATTCTTGGTGGAAACTTTGGGGGGCATTTACCTCATGTCTCGAGTGGTCTGTGCTCCACCCACCCAGGCAGCCAGGGCAGCTCCCCCAGCAGCAAGCAGCCCAGCCCCTCAGACCAGAAACATCCTGCTCTGTGTGGGGTAAGAATGAAATGCGAAGCCGGCCACGATCCACCCTCACCCCACAGGAGCACACAGGGGATCAGGGCACCGCCACCTCCCAGCAGCCTTTCCTGATTGGCCCACATTCCTAGACCTGGCAGCTAGAGTCTTGGGGAACCACAGGCTTTTGCTGGAACATTTCAGCCTCGTGTCCAGGGCCTGCTCGCTTCACTAGCTCAGGAGCATTGGAAACTTGCTGACAGAACCACTCCTGGGATTACCTAGTTACCTTTTATACTCTTGATTGTAGGTGCCCGTGTCCAAAGGGGAGTGGGTGGTGTCTGGGTGAGTGGATTTCTTCCCTCTTGCACATTGTTGTCTCCTCTGAGCACACATGACCCAGGCTGTGAGCATCGGAGAGGCTGCTGGCTGATTGTGGGAATCATTTTCCTCGGGCGAGGGTCAGGGGACTCCAGACCAGATGCCAGGGGTCCAGTCTACCTCCCACAGAGCTTCTTCCCCTCTGCCACCATCCTGCCCTTCCTCCCAGGACGGAGCAGGCTGGGGGGTGGCCAGCAGGCTCTGTGGGTGATGAGTAGGAGTCCTCCTTCAGAGTTAGGCAGCTGGGAATTGAATCCCCTCACAAGCTGTGAAGCTGGGGGCAAGACCCTCAGCAGCCCTAAAATCTGTTTCCTTCCATGTGAAGAAGAGAGCTGGGATTTAGGTAAAGTGAGGTCACAGCAAATGGTGGTCAGGTGACTAAGGCCATTACAGGGCTGTCAGGGAATTAAGCCTGGTGTTTAGTGTATGAGGTTTTTGGCACTGAGCCTGGGTCAGAGACAGGCCTCTGTGAATTTGGGGTGGGGAGGCCAAGGGAGGGATGTGCATGCAGTGTATCCACCTGGTATGAAGTTGGGAGCTTTCTGGGAAGGGAGCAGGTTAGGGCCCAGCAAGCCTTCCCCACTGCCCGTTTGCAGACAGCGCTGGCAGCCCACGCCCTTGGCCCCTTAAGCTTCTCATCACTTGGCAGCCCTGAGAAGCCTGGGCCCGGTGAGGGGTGCGGAGAAGCTGGTATCATACCCACAATTACCCCAGGGCTGGGTTGCCCCTTTTCCTGAGGTCGCCCACCCCAGTTTGCATGCAACTCCACTTCCACACAGATCTGGGCATCTTCCCTGACTGGGCTGGCCTTGCCTGCTGCTGAGTTCAAAGTGTTTGTGCCTCCAGTGCCAGGAGCCAGCCGACTCACCCAGCTGTGTGCCTCCAAGCACCCTTGTTCCATCAGGCCGCACAGGCTGTCCCTTCGGTGGAGGGATACAGGGTGGAAGTGACACTCCGCCTGGCTTTCCCCAAAGGAGGGAAGCAGGCCCATGTGGGCAGGCAGAGGTTGGGAGGGAATTCTGTAGGCTCGGGGCGCCCATGTGTTTTAAGCTGAAATTCAGCTCTCTCAGCCTGTGGAGGGCCTGGCTCCCAGCCCAAGCTCTGCTGACAGATGGGTCCATGTGCTCATTCCAGGGTTAGGGCAACCCCTGCAGCACGAGGGGCCTGGCCACCTGAGAGGCACCTCATGTACTGTGTATTCACGGACTTTGAGTCTGTCTGACCCCAGTCCCATCCTGGCTCAGCTGTGCGGTCTTGGGTACTTGGCCTCTTAGAACCTGGGGAGATCACACCTACAGAGTTGGAGACTTAAAGGGGGGAATACACGCAGAGCCCAAGTGCAGTATGGCAGGTGGCAGCCCCTTGATAATACCTCTATCTTTCCTCACCCCACAAAACCTCGAGGGAAGGAAAGACAGGCTTAGGAAATCATTCTGATCCACCAACACACATTGGCAGCATTTGGAAAGGAAAATGGCTTTGAACAGTCAGTTTTAGAAAAAGTTTTGGGGGCTCCTTTCTTTTTCTTGAACTAAACTTCAAGACCAGCTTCAGGGAGTTTTTTGTTTTGTTTTTCCTTTGTGCTAAAAACATGTCACTTCCTAAAGGGAAGTAAGAGCAAGAAAAGAGTCAAGCAGGATGCTTGTGGTAGAGACTGTGCCGGCCTCATGTTCTGGATTAATCCAGTGTGGCCCCCCACCCCGTAAGGAGACCAGCTGAAACCAGGTCCATATATGGACCCGATAGGGGCTGTAGGGGGACAGGGCCATAGGAGCTAAGCATGTCCGTGGGGCAGGCTGTGGACTGAAAAGGGCCTCGGTCACCTTGTCCACAGCCTCCCTGTACAGAGGCCAGCCTGTCCTTTTCTGCTGCCAAGGGTTCATGAATAGCTCTCTGCTGATGACAAAAGAAGCATGTTTTTTATAAAACCTTCCCAAAATAGAGAAAAGCACAAAAAAGGAAAAAGCAATTGTCCATAATCCTACCACCCACAGATAAGTCCTCTCAATATTTTGGCATTTGTTCTTCCCGTACTTTTTGTGTACAAATTTGTTTTTATAGTTATTATTCTAAAAATGGGATTACAGTGGACATACGTTTTTGTGGCCTATTTTTTTCCACTTAATATAGCATGAGATTTTTCCACATCATTAAGAATTCTTATAGAAAGTAATAGCTGCATAGCATTTTTTTTTTTTGGCGGTATGCGGGCCTCTCACTGTTGTGGCCTCTCCCGTTGCGGAGCACAGGCTCCAGATGCACAGGCTCAGCGGACATGGCTCACGGGCCCAGCCGCTCTGCGGCATGTGGGATCTTCCCGGACCGGGGCACGAACCTGTGTCCCCTGCATTGGCAGGTGGACTCTTAACCACTGCACCACCAGGGAAACCTGCTGCATAGCATTTTATCACATATATAATTGATTTAACCAGTCTCCAAGTTATATTATTTATATTGACCATCTTTCACCCTTGTAGTCAACGTTATGGGAATTAATCTAGGCTTATTTCCATGATTATCTCCTTTGTTTGTTTTTTTTGTTTTTTGTTTTTTGGTGTTTTTTTTGTGGTACACGGGCCTCTCGCTGTTGTGGCCTCTCCCGTTGCAGAGCACAGGCTCCGGACGCACAGGCTCAGCGGCCATGGCTCACGGGCCCAGCCGCTCCGCGGCATGTGGGGTCTTCCCAGACCGGGGCACGAACCCATGTCCCCTGCATCGGCAGGCGGACTCTCAACCACTGCGTCACCAGGGAAGCCCAATGATTATCTTCTTTGAATAAATGTCTAGAAGTTGAATTGCTGGCCCAAAGGGTTTGCACATGTTTAAGGCTTTTGATGTGTACTGCCAAATGGCCCCCCCGGAAGCTGTGCTAATTTACATTCACACCAACAGCACATGAATGCTGCATGTTGCCCCAAGCCCTGGCCAATCATGGGTATTATACTTTTAAATCTATGACAACATAAGTTAAAAATTTATGGATATATGTATGTATCTTGTTTTAATTTAGGGTGTATTTTCATTAGAAGCACGGTCTCAGAGATTAAACTAGTGTTGATAAATATTGTGTAATTCTAACTGCCATCTGGTGGTAGAACTTGGAATTGCAGGTATAGAATTTAAAGAGATCACCAGCATTTGAGAGCTTTCAGATTCCAGTTGATCCAGGGACAGCAGATATCATGCAATCAGCCACACACGGGAGAATTTTGAACTCAGAACATTGTCAGTCCAAGATGGGACCTGCAGAGGAGCCCTGGGCCCAGCATTGTTACATTAGGGGGTAGTAATCAGCATTTATGTTGATAAAGTGATTTTGCCATCTCATAAATAGCGGGCTCGGCTCTGTTCAACAAATACAGAAGGTGTGTTGTGTACTAGGGTAGCACAAAAAGAATCAGACCCAGTTGCAGCCTTTG